GATACCAGCAAATAAGTGTTCATAAATCATAGCAAGGCCTGGTCTATGTAGCTGATTGCTTTCATCTTGTTCTTCTCCAAACACACCTGTTTTTATGTCAGCTGCCTAATTGATTTATGTTTATTGGGAACCCTGCCATGAGAAAAATAATTGAAAATCCTATTCACCCTATAAAGAGAAGTTAAGATATTCTAAGCTTCTAAAGTGACTGCCAGAGGCAAGACTAAAAAGGAAAGTTTACCATCCCATGCATGTATGTGTAAGTTAATGCTTGTCTGATTTCTGATGTCATCTAAAGCCAAGTGAAATATTTATTGCTATTATTCATCCATTATTGAAAAATCAAGAAATATGCACTGATTCTCAAGGGCTAAGCTCACAATGGCTATCACCAAAACCATTTCCATTTATCTACATTCTTATCAGATATGTTGTGGATTATGTCCCACCAATATACTTACAGTTTGTGCAATCCATTTTGGCAATGGCATTAGGGAACACGGTTTCCCTTTTTCCCCTTGGCTACCACTGGACAATTGAATGATAGTATTTGTAAGCAAGATACAAAGCACTAGAACAATCCATAAAAATTGATTACTGAAAGTATACCCTATGAAAAAGTGTTTTATAGCATCATGGTGAGCAACTGCACCCAGAGTCAGTGTGGATCTTAAACCCCTCTTTTTTTTAATAACTGTTGGAGCCCTTTCAATGGTGCCACTAAATTTCTGCAATGAAATTGCTGATAACTGGCAGCATAATTGCCACCCTTGAAGCAGGAAGTACATGAACATTAGTCCTAAAATAAAACTGAAACAGAAAATAAATACTGTTACGCTCCCTACAAAGAAAGCTTGAGAAAAAAAATACAACCTACTTTTCCCAGCAATTGGAGATGCTTCTACTCACAGTATTCAGACTTACAAATAAGCATTAAAATGTGGCTTCAAAGCTACCAGAGATTGCTCAATTCTGCTGTAGTCTGCAAAAATTATTGAGGTTAGTGTAGCATACCATAAAAGCTTTCAGAAACCACAGCCCAGAAAATAGCTTTTCAGAAAATATTTTCAGGATGGCGGTGTGGTGTGGCAGGAGAGTAAACTAGTCTAAATCATGAGAAGTTAGTTAATATGAAAATATTGTAATTAACAATTTTATTAACTCAAAAATAATATAGGAACACTAATCGTTTCTTTGGAATTGAACTGCAAATCTCCTTACAATGTTTCAGGCTGTCCCCAGGTTAAGAATGACTTCTGGTCCTAAGTCTGTCTTCAACTTAAATATGTATGTAGGACTTATTAATGGACTGCCTATTACTAAATATGGCAGACAGCATCTCCTTCATCAAGTTTATGAACCACTGAAGCTGTATAATGTTGTCATGAGCCACTGAAAACAGGCTGAATATAAAAAATGTGCAGCTTCAGCGATTCATGAAACATTGTGCAGCTTCAGCAGTTTATTGGCTTGAGGTAGGAGAACGTTGTCCATCATTTTTAGTAATAGCCCATTCATAAATATGACTTGTCTGTAGGTTGGGTGTTCTTGACCTGGGGACTGCCTGTATACCCTGTATACTGATAACTGTACACAAAGTAGGGGTTTCTATGAAGGGATGGCAAGTTCTCCTGTGCTAACACTATATAGAGCTTCCCAAACACAATCTGCACTTGCTTTTCTTCATGCCATACTTTTTATTCCAGCACCTGGGGCCCTATCTAAATTTTCAAATGTTCTTTATTCTGGAACCATTTAAGAATTATACTTTTGTTCATAAAACAGAAAAAGAAACATCAATAGGCAGGGGCAGTTTAAAAAGGAAAAACAAAAGGAAGATACATCTAACTTTGTAATTAGCTCTCCATTGATGGCTTTTGGAGTAAGATTTCCAGAGTTTCGGCTCCTCTGTTTCTAAATATTATGAAATGTGGTTCTTGATTTAAAGAAAAGTATAGGCTGTACCAACTATATATGCAAAATATTGTTATATACAATAATATCTTTGTCTCAGTCATGAAAAATTTCCCATAGACAGCAATATTTTCTAAGTACTTCACATCTTGATCTACCTAAATCAGAAACTGGAATTATGCATAGGTTTTTGTGGAAATAGACTAAGGGAGGCAAAACATACACTGCAACAACACAATGCATTTTCACTGCTTACAAGACAAACTTGCACAAAATGTCATGGTGTAAATACCAAGGGTCAGGGCTTGTATCATGACATCATGGTACACATACAGTATTATCATTTTTGTGTTGTCCAATCTCCCTCCCACACAAACCTGTGTGTCTCCCTGAATGTTTCAAAGGATGTACTTTGAAAAATTGCAGTTGGCTCCTGCATATATACATCAGGAAGTCTCCTTGCTTTTTAATGGGGAAACAATCTGCATGAATTTAGTATGACTGTCGTCATAGTGATCTCTATTGAACAGATAACATTGCATTTTTGTCATTATGCCAATGGATTCATACTGCAGCCTCAATTGGGTTATTATGGGTAAGTATACCATGACTTGGCACAATATGTGACCTTCTACCACATACAGTAGGTGGTAAAGATCTGCTTATATCTAAGTTCTCGCTATCAGAAAATGCTCCCCTCCCACTTTGCTCCTGCTGCAATAGATTAACATAGTCACCTTCCTCAAAATGTTCAAAATCAAGAACACTGGCATCAGAAGATGAATCGTGGGAATATAAATTTTTGGGAAGAGTTGGTATCTTGCCCCTAATAGAGAAATGCATATATTTTAATATCTTGATCCTTCCAGGATTTCATTCTATTTTGTTTATCAACTTTGCAGCAGGGAGTAGTGTTTTGTGCGATGAACCCTCAGGAATGCAGCACAGTCTGTCAAACCTGTTATGTGATAAGGTTCAAGCATCGTCAAAAATTAAACATCACAAATAAAGAGAATCTCATGAAAAATAATTTGTGTTTCAAGAATGATTCTTTTTGCATTGCCAGCAATGGGGTGGGCGAGGCTTCGGTATGATGAAACCAGCCCAAGGGCCAGCAGTTTGACACCCCTGGGCTAGAAAGATGATGATGATGATGATGATGATGATGACTCTAAAATAACCATGGAGGGCACAACCAATAACCACAGGGGAATTTGCTCTGTTGTGGCAGCTGTTAACATCAAGCAATAGGAGGACAGACATTATTAGACCGAATTAACCACAGGAGAGAAACCACACATCCAGTTTTGTGCTGATACAAATCTAAAAGCACCATTTTTCTAGCAGAGCAGGAAATGAGGATTGCAGGTAGTGAACTAAGGCTGATGTCATTCATACAAGTCATTTCAATGTGATCATGGAAACAATGCCTGTGTTCAGTTAGCAGGTCATATAGAAAAGCTCTTAATTGTGGGTAAGAACTTACAGGAGGGTTGGAAACCTATCTATCTAAAACAGTGTTTCTCAATCTTGGCAACTTTAAGATGTTGAAATTCAACTCCCAGAATTCCCCAGCCAGTGATGCTAGCTGGAAATTCTGGGAGTTGAAGTCCATATGCCTTAAAGTTGCTTAAGGTTGAGAAAATACTGCTCCAGGTGTTTTGTATGCAGCCAGTATGGATGATGGTGAGCCAGAATATTGGGAGCTTATTTCAGAAATGTCCAGAGAGACAAACCGGGCAGGTGCCTAGAACTGAGTCCTAATTCTCAAGAGTCTATTAGAATATATGTTCTGATAACAATTTCTCTGCTTTTAAGTTTGTCTTCCAAGCCCTTCTTTATGAGCTACTATTTTCAAAATTGAGACGACAATGAAGTAAAGACTACTTTTTGCACAGATATTGTGATTAGACAATAATTCCTAAGGAAACTTGGCTAGCATCAACATTCTTTTCATTTTTATGCCAGGCAAATATTTTTGACATTCTTTTCACTTGAAATGTTCTTTTAAACTTGCATTTAGCTAGCATAATCATATGCCTGTTTGTAATTGTATAAACTGAGCTGGAATTTCTTTTGAGTGAGATCTATTACGTTTTAAGCAAGTTTTTTGTGGTTTTTTTGCTTTTGTTGTTCTTGACATTAATTGAACTTGGGAATGTCTATATAAGCTTTCAAATAAATTACACCAAGGTCAGTGGGAGAGGCTTCCAGATGTGTATATAAAAGCCTGTCTTGATTTACTTTCATCTGCATGGCATTATCTGGACTTGCTAGATCAGTGGTTCTCAACCTGTGGGTCGGGACCCCATTTGGGGTCGATCGACCATTTCACGGGGGTCGCCAAGCAAGGTTGTCCGCCATTTTTTTTGTCCGCCATTTTTTTCCCCTTTTCTGGCGGGTGCCTTACCTCTCTTGGGCTGGGCCAGCTGGTGGTCGGCCTGCTCCGTCTCTGCCACTTGCCAGCTACGCCTCGGCCGGCGCAGGGGGCGGAACCACGCATGCGCGGCGCTCCCGGGCAGGGAAAGTCCTCGACTTACGACCGGTTGGGTAGTCCTCGACTTATGACCGGTTTAGTCCTCGACTTACGACCGGTTGGGGTCGCGGCATTAAAAAGGTTGAGAACCACTGTGCTAGATAAATGTTTGTCTCATCCAAACACTGACAGAATCAAAGATGGACCACATGGCTTCACATCTAAGTTTTAAGAGGAGAGGAAGGTAATACTGGCCTGTGCAGATTAAGTACTAAAATGCTTATTTTTTTTAGAAATTAAGGAGAGGCCTCACTTATACCAGGCCAAACCAGTCAGAAACAGAATAAATAGATGGGGTGGTGGTAGGGGTTGTTGAGTGCGTTGTAACCTCGGCAAGATTTTAAAAGGAGGCTCATCTGAAACAAGATAGAATGAAACGGCGCTCAGAGGCTGGGTTAGCAGCCCATAACGTCGACAAGGCGCAGCCGGCTAGGGGAATACAGCAACGCGCCATCCAATACTTTTGTAGCGAACCTCCTCCCCGGGAAAGTCTCCGTGACTGAAGCAACGGCGGCGGCGGCGGCGGTGGCAGGAAGAGGAGGCGCCACAGACGTCCGATTTTGGCACGGGGTCTGTCGGAAAAGTTGTTTCGTAGCTCCCCGCCGGATCCTCCTCTGCTGCTCCCCTGTCTTCCTTGTTTTGGAGTCACCGCAGAGTCCCGTCAACACGCCGCAAGGGCGAAAAAACGGCCTGCGAGGAGCCAAAGCGCCTCCTCAGCTGTCATGTCGCAGCCGACCAAAGGCAAAAAACAGCCCGCCGCGGGCTCCAAAGAGGTAAGCCGAGGGCGGCGGCGGGCGGGAACCAAACTAAACTGTTGCCCCCCAAGAGGGCTCTCTCTCCTTCCATTTTCCCCCTTCGAATAAGAAAGGCGAGGAAAGCGTCGCCCTGCGGCGTGCGGATCCGGGCTGAGGCTTCGGCGTTCGAAGCGCAGCAGAAATTCGCCAGCGCCCAGAGCGGCGAGGAGCCAAGATCGGCAGCGCGCAGAGGCGCGGGCGAGCCGAGGCGCAGAGCCCGGAGCGGTGGGGAAGCGCTGGGTGGGGCGAAGCGGCTGCTCGAACGAGGGAACTTGGGGTGCGCGCGCGTCCTCGTTTTGCCTACGCCCAGGCCGCCTCTCCGTCGCGACGGCGCTTTTTGAGTCTCTCGCTGCAGATGCGCCCGGCTACCCTGTTCATTTCCCCCTGTCAGCTGCAGGCGATAAGCGCTGCAGGCTGTCATCTCCAGGGCGCCCGCTGGAGGAAAGCTCTCCGAGGGGACTTCGAAAGACCAGAGCCCCTCCCTGCGGCCGTGTGAAAAACGGTGACTGTTATGCGAATTGCCCTTTTAAAAATATTTTAGCAGGCATTTGGGGGCTACTTTAAACCCGGAGATGGAATCCTTGAAAGCTTAAGAAGGAAAGTGACTCTGCGCGCCTCGGAGCGGTTTCTAAAGTGTGTAGGATTCAAAGCTATCTTCGACTAGGAAACTTTACCGTTCCGGGTTGTGTTTGCGCAAGACGCCAAATTTTAAAACCGTGATTTATAAAGTGCAAAAAAGATTCACACCCACACTTTATAAATTCACATTTATAAAGTGCAAAACCGAGTCACACGGACACCGTAGGGACGATTTACCGAGTAACAAATTAGCAAGCACATTTAACGCGTTCTGAAAACATGGCTTATGATGGTTATGAAACGGCGTATCCTGTGAACTCGGAAATGTGACCTCATTAAGTTTACCATGTAGGCTGGTATACTGTGCAACAGCCCTCATATCATGGCCTGTTGTATGTACCACACCATTAAAACAATGAGCTTTCTAAAGACATTTGTGATGGCTTGTTTACAGTGTGCTGTGTGAACCCAGGCTGTGAGCCTCTGTATGTTCGATGGTATTCATCTACACTGCCATTAAGTTTCATGTCATTCTCTGGTTTAAATGAACTCTAGTTGGTATCCTATCATGGTTCCCAATAGAAATCGGGATTTGCCTTCAGGATTTTGGGCATGCTCCCTCCTCTTTAACAGAGAGAGGTTCTTACCCATTTAGGCTCCTCGCCATAGAGAAGAGATGAAAGGTAGGTATGAGGTCATTTATGAAGAACTCTTTTATCTTATTTCTAGTACAGGTGGGTGTTCATCTTGCAGATATTCCTGCTATGAAATGATACTACAGTGGAATTTCACAGTTTGATTTCTACCCTTAAGATACTTCATAGTGCCTGGAAAAGTAGGTTGCAGGGCGGCCGATTTTATGGCCTTCCTGTTTGTGGGGTAGCAGGAGGAATGGAAGGTGGAGATTCCTTTAACAGATTCACAAAATTGTGGAATAAATTGTTCATAGTCATACCTTTTCCCCACTGCACTCCCCCCCCTTTTTAAATACTGTTTGCAAACTCTTGGGAAGTCAAGATACTGAGAAAAGAAAGGCCTTTGCTTTGAAGATAAAACCTCTCTGAGTGGTCCTTGGCAGTTAGTGACCTATCAGGTACCCCCAAGAAGAATTAGGAGACTTTGAAATATCCTTCTCAGAATTTATAGTAGCCGACTTTCCATATTCTTCTGGCCTCGCAAGCCACTGGCAACAAAGTGTTTCAGTATTCTGTGAAAACCAAACTAGTGTAGTTAGTTTATGGTCCATTGTCCTGGTAATCAGTAAGTCATAATTCAGCTGACTCTAGGTTAGCACCTGTGGGAACATAGTTTATGGGCCTTTAATGTCTATCTGGAGCAAAGTGCATTTCTTTATCTAGCCGCCCTGAGTCCGGTAAGGAGAAGGGCGGGATAAAAATCGAATAAATAAATAAATAAATGAATGCAGCCCCGGGATAAAATGTGAGTTATTGGCCAGTCTTTTTTTTTTTTTTTTAGCTATTCTGAGAAAGGAGGAGGAATTTTATTCAAAAAAAAAATATGCTAGGCCCGCAGTGTTTCTCAACCTTGACAATTTTAAGGCATGTGGACTTCAACTCCCAGAATTCCACAGCCAGCATTGCTGGCTGTGGAATTCTGGGAGTTGAAGTCCACATGCCTTAAAATTGTCAAGGTTGAGAAACACTGTGCTAGGGATTTAGAAAGAAAGGCAACGAGTGGAGACACCTTCCCTTCTTCCAGGAACTGGGTCAAAACAATGAAATCATGCTTAGAAGGCTTTGGGCGGTGCAGCTGGCACCAAGGGAAGCTGGATCGAGTCATCATTCCCATCCTTACCTCCGTCTATCCGGAGTTGGGGGGGGGGGAGGAATGCCGTCTTAGCCGATTGGTCTCGCCCTTAGTTTATCCCAAAAGACGATTGCTTCTAGGCAAGCCTCCCTTGTTTTACAAACTTCAAAGCCGGAAGGCGGGGCTCTAGCAAGCAGACAACCACATTGACACGGACCGTCCCTCTTCAAACTTTCCTACTCTGCTGTCTGTTTGGGGGCGGGCCGACTGAAGGAGCCAGCGGCTTCTCCACGCCCCGCTCTTCGCCCGCACATCTTCCCGAGCCCTCCGGCCAGACAGTCGCAGCCAGCCGCGCATAGTTAGTTGGGGAGTTTCGGGCGATCTCTTTAGGAGGCTGAAGCGGAACTTGGAAGAAGGAGAGCTGGGAGCGGTCCCCGCGATGGCGTTTGCGAGTTGGTGGTATGCGACGGTAAATAACGCGGGAAGTTAATCATACAGGGATTGCGGCGGGTTTGAGGTAGTTCCGAGGGAGTGTCAGTCGTTAATCCTTCCTGGTCTTTGCTGAGATCGTACCTGTGGCGCTTTTACACCAGGGATGAATTGGCCAAGGACAGGGATAGGCAACCGTGGCTCTTTTATGACTCGTGGACTTCAACTCCCAGAATTCCTGAGCCAGCACAGCTGGCTCAGGAATTCTGGGAGTTGAAGTCCACGAGTCATAAAAGAGCCAAGGTTGCCTACCCCTGGCCAAGGAGAACCAGAAAGTTTACGCCCTTCTGATATGCACAGAACAGTTGGCCTGTTCTTGTGAATTTTTGTGCCTTTTAAACTTTCTGACGTGAAAGTCTGATTGATCAGAAAAGGAAGGGTAGGATTATCCCTACCTCTGAAGGGGTAGGATTATACTCTTCGTTCCTTGAATAAATAAATCAGTCCGAAAGAGAGCTTTTAAAACAACTGATTCACTGGAATGTACACGGTAAGCCAGATTTGGGAATAACAAAAATAGTTATTCTGATTAAAGTTAGGGTTGCCAGGTCTGCTTCCAAAAAATAGCGGACAAGCGGGAGGGGGGGGTAGTAGTAAAGTAGTAAAAAAAGAAGACTGTACAGCTTTAGATTACGTACCATTTCATCATAAAAGCTTTTGAATAACAAAAATGTCCACTATTTTGGGGGAAAAAATAGTGAACATAATGTGAAAAAAGTGGACTGTCCACTCAAATAGTGGACACCTGGCAACCCTAATTAAAGTTTTGGAAACATTTTGAGCAATTTAATTGAGGATTTAAGAAAATGGCATGCAAATCTTTTTTTTTTTTCTCATTTAAAAAAGTCCATAATTTTCAATGCAAACTGGGTGGCTTCCGTATTTATGGAGGGTGGAGCTGCAGGCCTTATCTAAATAAAATTAATATTAACTCTCCTGCCAACATTTATGATTATGCTGTTGCATATGATTATCGCAAAGTTAAATGGCTCTTCAGAAAGACTTGTATGTTTTCCTTCTCTCCAATTTGTCATTGGGAAGGAAGAGAATGGCCAAGATTTCTGAGATAGAGTAAAAGCTATTTTTTTCTCTCTGAATACTTCTGAGCTACATTTTTGCTTTCAATGTCTTTAGCACAGAGCATTTCTGGCTTAAGAAAGGCTTTCTAAAATAAATTATGACACTTATTTTGAAGTTTGGTAATTATCATTGCAGAAGAACTTTGTGAGTTAACCTGCAATCACGTTACAAAGAGATCATCCATTCTATTTGCTGATTTAACCAACTTTAGGGAAGTGATTTTAAACTTGCAAAAGAGATGGAATGGGTCATGTAACCATATATTTTACTAGTGATTAATCCACCATAGCTATTTTACACAACTAACGCAGCAAATCCTTTTGCATTACCATTCTTTTGCATTTTAGTATTCAATGACCATGGGCCTCACAGTTTAAGGATTGATATTATAGTATAGCTAGGCCATGCTGTGTTTTGCTCATGTGTAATTGACAGATTGGATGTCAAATTGTGAGTTTAGTATAAATGTTATCTATTATTATTTTATTTTATAATTTTTACCGGATAGTCCTTGAGTGTTTTTAAGTTGTTCTTGTCTTTGGTCTTTGACTGTAATAAACTTACTTGACTTGACTTGAATGTAGTGGGCAGGTTACTGAGAGAAGTACCCAGTGGTGGGATTCAGCCAGTTCGCACCAATTTGGCAGAACCGGTAGCTAATTTTTGTTGCCCAGGTCCAGAAGGGACTTCTGGAAGCGGCATCCACACAGAGAACCGGTTATTCACATATTTGAATCCCACCACTGGAAGTACCTGACAACATACTTGAGTACACCAGTATTAAAGCCATTAATAATTACTAATTATTAGTTATTCAGCCATGTCATTAGTTTATGTTTAGCATATAAGCCCCTAAAAAGTGGGAGACCAAGATACAGATCATTTTCCTCGTTGCAGACTTGCTTGATCACTAACACTGGAAAAGTGCTGGAAGGGCTTGTGCTGTGATAGAGAGACTGCTGTGTTATGGGTTACTGTAGTGAAAACTAGGCCTTCTCTATGCGCAGCCTATCCTCTGGAATACTTCCCCCCTGATACTTGGGAGGTTTTCTTTTAGGTTTGCA